CGCGGGGACTCCTGACCTGGCCCAGGCCCCTGGCCAGCCTCCTGCGCCTGGACCCCAAGCAGCAGTGGAGCTTCCAGCAGCCAAAGCAGCAGCAGTAGCCAGCTGGGGGGCGGCAGCGGTGGTGGTCAGAGTCCCAGCTCCCCTCTGCCATGGCCCCGCAGGGAGCGCCCTGGCACAAAGTTCCCAGCTCCTGGCGCCGGTGGCTGGGGACTTCTTAGGTGCCTCCTCCTCCCCACCGCCCTCGCTTCATGAATTGCAAGTTTCCCCAGAGGCAGAGGCTGCAGGACGCAGAGCAGGAGTCAGGGGAGCAGGCTGAGTGTGGCTCGGGCTGGACAGAGGGCACTGGCGCAGAGGAGATCTCCCCGGCGGCAGGCGGCAGGGGGAGTCGCTACCCCCTGGGGAGATCTCCTCCGCGTGCCGGTGCCCTCCATCAAGCCCGAGCCAGAGCCGCGCTTGGCCCACTCCGGTCTCCCGCTCTGGGTCCTGCAGCCGTCGCCTCCACGGAAAATTGGGATTCATGAAGCACAGACAGCTGGGAGAGCCGGGTGGCTCCAGTGTTGCCTCCTGCCTTCCTGGCCCTGGGCTGGATGGCTCCCGGCAGGTGGGCGGGGCTCATGCTAAGGCAAGCAATGCCTCTGATCCCCCGCCCACCCCCGGGTCGCACACAGGAGTGGGCCCCATGTCTCTGGTAGGCAGCGAAGCGATCGCCACCTCTTGCCTTGGCCCCAGCCCCTGCCCACCCCCCCCCATCACACATGGGAGTGGGCCCCGTGTCTCTGGTAGGCGGGTGAAGTGATCGGCACCACTTGCCTTGGCCCCAGCCCCCACCCGCCAATCGCACATGGGAGTGGGCCCCCTGTCTCTTGTAGGTGGGCGAAGCGATCAGCACCGCTTGCCTTGGCCCCAGCCCCCGCCCGCCTGTGGATCGCACAGGGGAGTGGGCCCCGTGTCTCTGGTGGGCGGGGGAGGGCTCCGGTGTAGTGATCAGCACCGCCCCAGCCCCCGCCCGCCCCGATGGTTCACGGGGGCCTGGATGGCAGCTTGCGCTGTCCTACCCTGCCTTCAGTATGCAAATTAGCCGCCATCTTTCTTAGCAGTTAACCGCCATCTTAGTTGGCAGTTAATTTGCATATCACCCTGATTAGCCAATGGGAAGGGTAGCGGTCGTACGCTAATTACCATGTTTCTCTTTTATTAGATAGGATATACATAATGTTATGCCTCTATTAGTGGGCATGAGCAAATCAAGTTTGCCATTTAGAAGTTTAAATTGCAGAACTCCAGGTATTTTTCAACATTAGCTTTGGTTCTTTATATTTAATAATTACAAAATATTAGAACAGGATAACAAACAAAAATTGGAAAACCTGAATTTTTCTAATGTTTAAACAACTGTTTCTATAAGACCAAATATGAGATATTAAAGTATCCTAATTTTAATTTAAAATTACTAAAACTGATTAATACTAAAAACCAGAAGAGAGAAGAAACTGAACTACACTTACCAAATTATAATATCCTCATAGTTAAAACCCAATTTGTCTTCACTGTGGCCAATATCACAAAGAAGCTGTCAGAAAAAAAAACACAAATATGTATGTATTTATTATATATTTTTGTCTATATACATTACTCCTTTAGATTGAAAAATAAAATACTTTTAATAAATTTTTTAAAAAATACGATTCTAGCCCTAACCGGTTTGGCTCAGTGGATAGAGCATTGGCCTGTGGACTGAAGGGTCCCGGGTTCGATTCTGGTCAATGGCATGTACCTTGGTTGCGGGCACATCCCCAGTAGGGGGTGTACAGGAGGCAGCTGATTGATGTTTCTCTCTCATCGATGTTTCTAACTCCCTATCCCTCTCCCTTCCTCTCTGCAAAAAATCAATAAAATATATTTAAAAGAAATACGATTCTATAGTTCAAGGATACAGATTTATTTCTACCGCCTGATGGGTGATAGAAACCACTGAGCATTGATCCAGGAACCAAGAGGTCACTGGTTCAATTCACAGTCAGGGCACATGCCTGAGTTGCAGGCTTGGTCCCCAGTTGGGGGAGTAGGCAGGAGGCAGCCAATATATGATGTTTATCTCGCATCGATATTTCTAGCTCTATTCCTCTCCCTCTCAAAATCAATTAAAAAACATATCTTTTTTAGAAAAGCAAGAAATTGTTCTTTAATATAATTATACAAGACTAGAGGCCTAATGCATGAAATTCGTGCAAGAGTAGGCCTTCCTTCCCCAGGCTGCCGGCACCGGCTTCCCTCTGGCACCCAGGACCCAGGCTTCCCTCGAAGCTCTGGCTTCGTCCGGAAGGATGTCCAGTCTAATTAGCATATTATGCTTTTATTATTATAGATAAGAAAACACACTGTTGATGGGATTATAAACTGAAAATATTTTGTGGAATAAACTGAAAAAATGCACCAGGATCAGAAAGTACTTTTGATGATTTATATTAAAATAACCTAAAACATAAAGCACAATATGCTCAGGACATTATTTACAGTAGTAAGGAATTAGAAACCAACTTTTAGGAGGAATTCATAAAGGAGGAATCTTATGCAGCTATTAACATCAAAAAGGGAAGTACAAGCATAGGTGATTATTCTCTGCTTGTCTGTATTTTATAAATGTTTACAATAAATATATATTACTTACATTATATATGTGTGTGTGTGTGTGTGTCTTAACAGTAACATTGATTGACAATTAATCTTACCATCCCTAGAAAACTAAGTAATACTTTTGTAAATGAGGACAACTTAGGCTTACAGATGGTCATGACTTCCTGAGACCACAAAGCTAGTAAGTGGTAAAGCCAGAAATCAGACTAAACCAGTTTGAGTCCAGAGCTCACTGTGAAAAATATTACTACAACTTTGTGCTGAAATTATTTACACAGGGAGAGGGGAGCAAAGTTGGATATTAAAAAAAAGAATACCTAAATATTACCATCTCACTTCATTTCTCTAGCTTCAAAAGTGGTATGAACCAAGTCTGGAGAACCTCACTCTGGCTAGATACTCAATTTAAACACATAAAATGAGTAAATAAACTTAACTATCATTTGTACCAGAACAGCTAACTAAAAACATACATTTAAAACTTGCCCATTTCCAAGGATTAGAACGCACACACACAAAAATAGACTTATCACTATTAAAAACAATTTAGTATGCCCTGGTCAGTGTTGCTCAGTGGTTATAGTGTTGGCCTGAACACCGAAGGGTCCCAGGTTCAATTCCCAGTCAAGGGCATATACATGGTTTCAGGTTTGATCCCTGGCCCTGGTCTGGTACATGTGAGAAGCAACCAATCAATGTAAGGTGTGTCTCTCTTACATGAATATTTCTGTTTCTCTCTCCTCCTTCCCTCTCTCCCTTCCACTCTCTCTAAAAATCAATGGGAAAAATATCCTCTGGTGAGGATTAACAAAATAATAATTTAGTATTTATTTGATATTTCTCAGATATTTCATATTACTAGCATTGTCACTATATGCTACTACATATTAATAAAAAAGAAAAATCAGAACTGTTTATGATTGTAATCATGGTGTTATTACTCAGATCTTGGACACACTCTAATTCATAAACTTCATAGAAAAATGAAGCTAAGAATTTGTTTATATAAGACATTGAGCTTTTAAAATGGGAAAAGTTACTTTCTTAAAACAATGATTTACATATGTATCAACTAAATTTCCAAAGAGGCAATATTTGCATTCTTCTTCCACAGCGGTAATGAATGTTAAAGTGAAATGTTCTGAAATCCTAAAAGTAAATATACAAAAGTCTTGTCCTGTCAAGTGTTGGTTTCTCCTCTAAGTTTGTACTTGGTCCTCATTTCCTGAATTATCTTTTTCACACTTGCCAAATAGATTAGATTCAGAGAACATAATTTCCAAATTACCCACCTTCTCAGATCACCGAATATATGTCTGTTCACTATTTTACATTTGCTCTAGTTAGCAGTTTTGGTGGAAAAGTAAAACAAAATTCAAAGTTATGTCTATGATCTCATAAAACACAATTTGGAAAGTATTTAGAAATAAGTATTTTCTGCTACCTCATATCAACAAATTTTAATTGCAAGAAACATTTCTGAGGAAAATGTCTACTCAATTGGAAAATGGAAAATCACAAGTAACAACTACAAAGAACAATTTACAACGAAACAGCATATTAGTCATAATCCATGTCTTTTTTTCAGTGATAGCAAGGGATGCTAGGGCTATGCTTTTAATGGTGGCTAAATAATGCTTTCAAGATTTTTCAGAATTATAGAAGGACTTATTGATCAATCTCAAATCAAAATACCTTGTTTGAATTAGAATTACCCCAGAGACTAAATTTTCTACACATACATAATTTACATATATCAGAAATAAGAAATTAGAAGGTATTACTAAGAGCCTAACTTCCAATTATTTAAGAAATATAATGTTTACTTTTCATCACCAGGAATTCACCTACAGTAAGATTTAAAATATAATAAGAATTATTTTAATACAAAATTCTTATAGTGACTGACTCACTACCTTACCAATTACCACCTAATTTAAATAACCAAATCCTAAAGTACAAATCAACCCCCTTAATTCTTACTCCAGGAAAGAGGCAGATAGAAATAGCAAGTAAAGCCCTGACTGGTTTGGCTCAGTGGATAGAGCATCAGCCTGTGGACTCAAAGGTCCCGGGTTCGATTCCAGTCAAGAGCACATGCCCAGGTTGTGGCTCAATAGCAAATGCCCGGGTTGTGGCTCAATCCCCAGTTGGGGGCGTGCAGGAGGCAGCCGATCAATGATTCTCTCTCATCACTGATGTTTTTATCTCTCTCTCCCTTTCCCTTCTCTGAAATCAATAAAATATATATTTTAAAAAAAAGAAGAAAAAGAAATAGCAAGTAAAGCACTAAATTGGTGCGTTTAAGCAATGGGACTCTCAGCCACCTCAACTACTGATTGAATTACGAATTAATCCTTAATCTTTAGTAACAATTCCCTCACTATCTTAGCCATTACAGGTAATTTCCTATCTCCTGTATAAGTTCTTGAAATGTAATATTGCCTGCCCTATCACTGAAGTTTGTTACATTAAGAATAAATCACCGATTATGTTTAGAAGTCATTAAAGACCTTGCAAAATCTAAGACTTCTTGGCATAACAGTCACTTAATATGCAAAATTATTAAACATCACTCAACACTTTTCACTGGACTTCTGTTGCTCCATATTCCATGTGTTTTTGTGACCAGCAGTCACAATGCCTAGCTGAATGTGACCAAATAGGATCAGATTTCATCAGAAGACACAAAGAAAGGGCTACCCTCTCTCTTTTAATGACTGAACGCTGTCTCTTAGTCATTTGGAAATTGTCTAAGAATACTAGTAAAGCTAATCTAAAAGAAAACAGAGCTGAAAAATGGAGAGACAGAATGCAATTACCACTGTTCAACCCCTGGGTTTTTTGCCTGAAATTAGGATCCAACATTTGGTATTCCTCATCACGAAAGCAAGTAACTTCTTTTTACTTTAGCTCAGTTGAATTAGGTTTCTTTGTTATTTATAAACCAACTTAAGCATTCGATATCATCAAAAGTCTAAAATTATGAACATAACTGTTAAATTTAATATAAACAAAACAACCCAATAAATTCAATGAAAATATAAAATAGAAGTCTAAACCCACCTCTAGATAATAAAAAAGGAGATGATTAATAAAATTAATTAAAAAATATAATAATCAGTTAAAACTGGGCAGATAAATGCTACTCCCATTTTACTCATATTGCTCTGAAGGTTAAATAAATGGTTCTAAATAAGCAACAGATAGAATAACCCAAACTTTTAAACATCTTATCACAGAGTAGAATTCCGCAGCATGCTCTTTTCAGAGGGCACTTTAGAAGTTAATTTTAAAATAAAAAGTACAAATGCTCTTGACTAAGAAATCATACTTCGAAAATTCTATCTTATACAAATATAGCTATAAAAAAGTATATCTATATTTATAGAAAAGGAAAGAATTCTATGGTATATTGGGAAGTAGGAAAAGGCAAATTGCAAATCAATATATCTCATTAAAAAACCTTTGTGTACACACATAAAATAGTAAATAAACTAAGCACTATATTAAATACCTCTTTTTAAGTCTTTTAATTCACACACACACACACACATTTATAATTATACCAGAGAAGGATAAATACTTTCTAAAGGTTCCCTCTGGGGAATGGTATTTTTGTTCCCCCTGAGAATGGGGAGATGGATGGGAAGCATGTGAAAAAGGATTTGCACTATTTACTATATATTGTTCTGTACCATTTTGATACTTTATATTTAGCTTCAACTATTTTTGAAGTTTTTAAAAACAGAACAAAATAAAGATTCCTTTGGGGGTTTTAATATAAATATGTGAGATTAAATATAGAAAAAGAACTTTTAGAATATAAAAGCTGAAATACTTTCATCTTTAAAAACAGGTCTTTATGAGCATGTTGATAGTTTTAAAAATAGAATACTAAGATTATATTCATCAGCAGTCTGTTATACACATTACTTTATCTAGTGAAATGATGTCAGGAGGCAAGCATGGCTGTGTGACATTCACATGGTTATAGGATCACATAGCTAACACCCTCACTCTCTTCATACCTTAAAAGGAGGTTTAAAATTCTAGAGATGAAGTCTACCCTATACAACATTTTAGCTCAATGATCTACTAAATTAACTTAATCCTAAAAGCTAGGCTTACACTTAACAAAACAAATGCTAAAACAACAAAAACTCGTATTTAAAAGGCAAAATATTCCTAATGTAATATAATACCTTTAATTAAACACTTCTTATGTGCCAAGCTTTGGGATAGAGAGGTATATAAGAGGAGAAAAATAAATATTAGCTATAACATATGTTTAAGAAACTCAGTTCAATAAGACAGTAACCTACAACAAATAATAAAAGAACAGATAAAATTTAGTAGACACATATATAACCTGTTATGAGAATACAGAGAAGGATGACCAACTAACTCCTGATTAACAAGCTTACTGGCATCATAATTATTTTTCTCTTTTTCTTAGTCTATAGAGCTATTCTTATGAGATTTCTGAGAATTTCTACATTTTACTCTATAAGGAAATAAATAAAAGCTTTTTAGGAATACCAGGTCTGTCTGAAATATGTATTATTAATATGACAAATATTAATATACTTATTAATCTACCTCTCCAACAAAATGGAATTCAAAGGCACATTATACTATGATTAAATTCAGTAAGCATTTATTTTGTGCTAGGCATTTAGAGACATTTTATAATAAAACCTATAAACATTTATTTACAGCAGTGATTCTTAATTCTTTCAGAATCCTAGTTGTCAAGAGATGTGAAAGGACATATCTAGGTGTCAACCTAATTATGACAGAAACCATGAATTCAAACAGGACATAAACCTCTATTTTTAATAGTTAAATCTAAGCAAGTGGCAAAGACTTATTGGAGCTGAGTGAAAAATGGTGAAATAAAACTGGAAGTTTAATAGAAGGGAGGGAACCCAGGAGATGCAATCTGCAACCTTGGAACAACTTTAGGTCTTAAAGACTTGACATTATCTGACTAGAACAATGAAGGAAGGTATTTGGACACTTTTCATCACATTCATAAAAATAAAAACATACATAGGAATATTTTTGAAATTCCCTTCTCAAGCACCTAGTCAGTGTTCTTAAAAGTTGTTTATAAAAAATCACTCTCATCTAAAATAATTTTTTCATCTGTTATATAAAAATAAATGACAGAATATTCCAAAACTTCACTGAAAACACAAATGTACTTGATCCCCTATGAAAAAAAACTAACCTATTTTATATTTACTGCACAACACGTATTGACAAAACAATTTTGTTACATAGTGACTATATACTTATCCCCTTTTACTTCTATATAATCAAATCAAATCCAAGCAATAGTCCAATTATCAGATAGAAAAAAAAAAAATTAAAGATTTTAGAGGGGCCGAAACCGGTTTGGCTCAGTGGATGGAGCGTCGGCCTGCGGACTGAAAGGTCCCAGGTTCGATTCCGGTCAAGGGCATGTACCTGGGTTGCGGGCACATCCCCAGTGGGAGATGTGCAGGAGGCAGCTGGTCGATGTTTCTCTCTCATTGATGTTTCTAACTCTCTATCTCTCTCCCTTCCTCTCTGTTAAAAAATCAATAAAATATATTTAAAAAAAAAAAAAGATTTTAGAGGGTTAAAACAGTGCTGCTCAAACTTTAATGTACACAGAAATTCACAGGAGAATCTCTATTAAAAATGTAGATTCTGATTCAGTAGGACTGGAATGGGGCTGAAAATAGTGCATTTCAAACAAGCTTCAAGGTGAAGCCAATGCTGCTGGTCTGTGGATCACAGAATAGGAAGAGGTTAAAACATACAATTATCCCTACTTAAAATTGAGAAGAACAATTTATATTTAGTAAACTAAAATGGAAAAATAAATTTTTCCGAAAGAATCCATTCTGGTTTCTATTTATGGCATCACCTCAAATAATAGGCATTTCAATGTTTCCAAAAGTTGGCTTTCCAGGATTACCAAGCACAAAAACATACCAACCCATCAAACTCGGGAATCTTGGCTACTAACAGAAATCAAGTCAATATTTATTTGGGATGAGGGCCCCTGCATTTATCTTAGGCTCTGAGAGCCAGACAATGGGAATAGAGTATCAGGGAAAGAGAGAGGAAATGCAATGCACACGTACTTATGTACAAACATTTATCATATATCATCAAATAAAAATAAGTATAAAAAGGCAAAAACAATACATCACTATGTGTGAATAATAGTGAAAACTGGATTATGGATTTCTCAGTGATCTTTTTCTTTATTCTTTCCTGAACCCACCAAATTTTCTACAACAAGCATTTGAATAATACTTCCCTTATTCAATGACACTTTTAAATTAGAAATCACATGATAAAACCCTGAGAAGCATTAGAGGAAAGCACTAATACTGGGAGAATACTCAAGAATTCTTATTAATGATGGTTAAGAAGCATCCAGTAAGCATACTAAGGAACAAAGAATTGTAGATGATAATATTAATATTCAAGTTACTTACCTTAGTAAAGTTATTCAAATGGCCCAGCTTTCTCATATTTGAAACCCCTTGCAATTTGGCCACATTTTGGAGAATCTCCCTTAAGTTATCAGAAGGTTCTAGAAGAAAAGACAGATAATTCAAAAGAGTATTTTCCTAACCAAATACATAAAACATACAGAATTAAAATGTCACAACTTGGCTTTTAATATAAATTCTTACTCTCCATCTCAAATCCATCTTCTTAGGTCACATCAAAGTCCATGTGGATGAGTCATCAAATGACCTTCACATTTATACTCCACTCATATCTATGGTCCAACTCTGTATGTCATCATCTGGATTTATTCAATCACTAAATCTTAAATTGCAACACCCCACATTTCACTTCTAGCTACAATGTAGTAATGGACATAAAAAACACTATCCTATTTGAACCACTAAACAACTGTACAAAATATAGGAAACTATAGCTCAAGAGACTGGGCATCAGCAAGTAAAGAAAAATGATCCGTAAGAGATGAGAAACAAGCAAGTGTGCTCTACAACTGTCCCGGCTTACTGCCTTCTCTACGCAGTCTTCAGGCCTTGGTGCTAGCAGGAGAAACCTAGGCAAACCGTTTGGGTTGAAGAGAGAGAGCTCATCTTGCAAAGGGACCCCTCAAGTAGTCAGTATAGCAATGGTTGGTGCATGTATGCGTGTGAGGAAATTACCACTCAAAAGAATTAAAGGGAAGAGTACCTTGCATTCATACAGGACAGGGAGCTGTGCTTGTTCCTAAAAGCCAAATTGAGAAGTCTTAGCTCAGTGTGGGTAAAAATCAGATGTAGACTAAACATTTCTTTGACTCCATTTAACAAATCTTCAAATATAAAAGCTTTAAACTGATTCCAAGTAACTAAACTATGTTTCAGACCAAAGCTCAAAAAGATTTATAGGCAGAGAAAAAAATATGAAGCATGTAACAGGGCAAAATTTACAATGTTTATCATCCATTCAAAAATTATCAGGCATGCATGGCAAAAAAGCAGAAAAACATGACCCATACTGAGCCAAAAAAATCAATCAACTGAAAATGCCCCAGAACTGACATAAATGTTAGTATTAGCAGAAAGGGACATTAAAACCGTTTTTATAACTGTAGTCTATATATTCAAAAACTTAGAGGCATGAAAGGTTTACAAATGCTCTCAAACTACAAATGGGAATAACAGCATAGAAGGTAAGAACTGTAAACCTGAAGACAAAGCAACAGAAAATAACCAAAATGCAACAAAAAGAGAAAAAAACAAAAGCACATCAGTGAACTATGGGACTTCAAGCAGCCTAGTATAATTAAAATATGTGTAACTAGAGTCCTCAAAGGAAAGACATGGGGGATAGAAATATTTTTTGAAATAACAGATGAAAACTTTCCAAATTTGATGAAAATAAGCCAATAAATCCAAGAAGCTCAACCAACACCAAACACAAGAAACATGAGAAAACTAGACCAAGCCACATCTTAATCAAATCAAATGCTCAAAATCACTGGTAAAGAAACACTTAAAAGCAACCAGATTTAAAAAAAGAAAAGAAAAATTACATAGAGAAAAGCAAAGAAAGGATGACAGCTGATTTCTTGTGGGAAACAAGCAAGTGAGAAGATAGTTGAACAACATATTTAAAATATTTAAAATAAAAAATGACAGAAGACATGTATAGAAACCATTCTTAGCCCACTTGCTTTACAAAAATAGGCCACACGCAAATATGGCCCCATGGTCAGCAGTTTGCCAACCACTGGTAAAGACTGTCGATTTCTTCAGGTTGCCATACACTATTTTTCTATTACTATACTCAGCATTATATTTGTTTGAAAGAAAACAAAAACACAATCTAAAAAGAAACTGTATCACATGCAGATATTTTAGTGTAAGAGCCATTATGACTTCCTTCGAGATTTTTAAATAAACACAATACCAAGGAATTATTTGTTTTGAATTAGTGTTTTCCTCAGCAAATGAAACAGTTTGCACTGTCCTATTTCACATTTAGCTTGCATCTGTTCATATTCTGTTACACTGGGTGTTAGCCATGACAACCACAAATTGATCATTCATTTAATCTTAGAAATTTTGGATTTATTTTTTAACTCCAATAAAATTCTATCTAATTTTAAGTGATTTTAGAATATGTCCTTAAAATTAGTCACTGAGAGTATCTTAAAAGTGAAATGAAAACAGCTCATCATTGGGTGGGATCAGATCTCATTAAAAAGAATTGCAAGGTCACTGTTACTGGTGAGCCAATGATGTTAAAATGATCTAACTAGATAAGAAAACTTTATAAAAACTTTACAATAACTTTTAAAGGTAATTTAGAACCTGCAGCAATTTGCAGTCAGAATTAAGGATCATTAGAGCCAGTGCGAAATTTACCTAATGGAAATATATAACCTAACCATTTTATATCAATTTTTAATTAGGATGACAGGCACCAAACAAAGAGTTGCACTAAAGTGATGACACTTACTACAATGTAATGATCTGACATGATAGTCAAGATGATTAGTCTGAAAAGATATATACTTCATAAAAGCTTGCAGATTTCTAATTATTGCCTATTTCTAGGTATAAACTAATTGCAGATTTTTTTTCAAGTACAATCATGTAACAACCACCTTACACAATCATATTCAAAATAAAATCTCATATCTGAGTTCATTCATTCAATAAGTATTAACTGAAAAACTATTATGTCAGGTACATTTTAGGTAGTGGGAATACATCAATAATCAAGACAGAACCTTCTTTAACAAACCTTATATGCAAGTGAAAGGAAACTGACCATCAACAACAATAAGAAAACAAAATAACAAACAACATGCACACAATTTAAAAACTGACAGGCAGTAAGAAGGCAGCACTGAAACAAATGTTTGTGTAATAAATAATGATATAAAATGAACCTAATACACTGGAATACAGATGTTATCATTGTCACTACAAATCAAAGTGAACCAGCCTTTCAACTTCCTTCCCCTCCTCACCCCCTTTCTCTTTTATATAATCCTATATAATAAAAGCCTAATATGCTAAGGGTCCAGTTGACGGGTCAGTCGTTCAACCAATCAAAGCGTAATATGCTAATGATATGCTAAAGCCGCTCAACTGCTCGCTATGATGTGCACTGACCACTGGAGGCAGTCGACCAGTGGCTATGACGTGCACTGACCACCAGGGGGCAGGTGCTCCAACCAGGAGGTTAGCTTGCTGCTGGGATCCGGCCGATTGGGACTGAGCAAGATGGGCCGGACACGCCCTGGAGCCCTCCCCGGTTGGCCAACCTCCCGTGTCCCTCCCCACCCCCAATAGTGCACCAGTGGTGTCCCTCAGCCTGACCTAAATTACCTTAAAAGTCAGGCCGAGGGATTGGTCCCTCGCAATCCAGGACCCCTTGGGGGATGTCAGAGAGCCAGATTTGGCCCGATCCCCAGGCCAGGCTGAGGGACCCTACTGGTACACGAATTCATGCACTGGGCCTCTAGTTAATTATAGGAACTCCCCAACTATGGAAGAATTTCAAGGTTTCTTCATGATATGTTAATTCAAAAGAGTATTAGGGCCATTTTAGACATGAAATACTATAATGCTCATGTGCTACAATGTCCCCATGGTAATGAAATGAGACTCCTGATCTAGCCAGTAAAGTTTCTTCCTTACTGGCTAGATCAGGAGTCTGTAAACTTTTTTTGTAATGGTCCACAGAGTAAGCATTTTATTAGAATTTTCTGGTCGTAAGGTCTCATTGCAATTACTCAACTTGAAGTTGTACCAAGAAAGCAATCATAGAAAATACTTAAATGAATAAATATGGGCTATGTTTCAATAAAATGGGCTTGGCTCAAGAGCTGTAGTTTGCCAAATCCTATGCTAGATAGTCAGAACTTAGACTAGGAAAAGTAGTGAGCAAGCTGAGATCAATGTTGCTTTTATTGGGGCAGGGAGAAAGGGGAGGGAAAAAAAGAAATTTAAGGAGAGTTTACCTCTTTATTTCTTCCTACTCTATTTGTTTCCAATTTAGCTTCTCTGAAACTGTCCCAATTATAGTGCTATGTGAGAAGTCTAAAGCACAAATGGGATAATCTACTAGGATATTCTCTGAACTCCTGAAGTTTAGGAAACCCGCAGCTGCATAAGGGGAAAGGAAAAAGAAACTGCCTTGCTGGCTATGAGACCAACCTTACAAATGCAAGGAAGCAATGCACAAAAAAACTACTAGAATTATGGTGGCTCCTTTCCCTCTTATTGTGTAATCCTTAGTTCCTGATGCATCTCTCTGGATGTAATGAAATAACTGAAGTCAATGCTAAATATCTAGCAATTTAATATCTTATAAACACACACACACACAGAACCAAGAGAAAACTACAGAAAATAAACCTTTTGTCTATATGTATCTACAGACACATACACACACAGACACTCAACTGCTCCTTTGGATTAATTCTCTGTGTATGTGCACATGTGTGTACACATACTCAGATATATGTATATATATATATGTGTGTATAAAAATGAATTTATTTTCAAATATTTTCAATATATACTGCTTTGAAGCATGCTGCAATATATTATATTAATATCTTTACCTATTAATAAATGTACAACATATAATTGATTTTTATATAAATTTAGGTTCAAATATACATAGTAAATTAAGGTCCACAAACTACTGGCATACAGCTATTTGGGAGTAACGGAAAGAAAGACAATTTTGGAATGAAAAAGAACTGGATTCAAGTGTAGCTTTTTCGTCTATAAACAATGTAACTTTGACTACAAACCATGAAACCTCATGGGCATCCATTTTCTCATATATATAGTGAAAATTGTAATTACCTACGATGAAACCACTATTACAAGATATGAGGAAAAAAATTTGTCTCTGAAACAATTCACCAAGTAAACGAACCCTACAAAAGAATAGAACAGCTATGCCTAAAGGCTGAGACAATTGTGATACACACCCAGCCTGCTAGCATTATTTAAAAGTCATATATTTTCTTGCACAGCTACTTTCCTGTTTCTGTTTTTCTCCATGAAACATAACTATTTATAGTTCAGATCACTTCTCTGACAGGTGGCTTCTAGAAATGTAATTAAGGGCTTCCCTCTCATCTATATATATAAAACCCTAATATGCAAATAGACCGAACGGCAGAACAACCCATCAATCAAACAACGGGTTGCTATGACGTGCACTGACCACAAGGGGGTGCATGCAGAACATGGTGGGCGTCAGCCACAGGGGGATAGTGAAGCAGGTGAGCAGGTTTCCCAGACCAAGGCGGGGCAGCAGTTGCTGTCATGAGGTGAGCCTCTGGTGGTTACTGAAAATTCTTTGCTCCCGTGTGCTGGTCCTGCTTGCACCAGCTGCTGGCCCCCGATCGCCTCTCAGGGCTTTTCACCCTGCTTCTGAGGGGCGATCGGGGCCGGCAGCTACCTCTCACACCCGCTGCCGGCGCCGGCCCTGCTCGCACCCACAGCTGGCGCCAGAGCCGCACCCATTGCCGGTGCCGGTCCCGATCGCTCAGCACCGTCAGCAGGTGCGAGTGATGGCTGCCAGCCCCAATCGCCCCTGAGGGCTTCTCCATCTCCCCCTGCTCCTGAGGGGTGATCGGGGCAGCAGCCTTCACTCGCACCCGCTGATGGTGCCGGACCCGCTTGCACCTGCTGCTGGCGCCAGATCCAATCACTCCGCGCCTTCAGCAAGTGTGAGCGGGGCTGCTGGCGCCACCGTCAGTGCATGGGAGCGCCATCGGTGGGAGTAGGGCTGCCAGCAGAGAGGGGACCAGGGGCCATGGCAGGAGGGGCCAGGCGGGGACATGGAGTATGGACTGAGACCCACCCCTGTGCCCACTGCAGCCTCACGGCCCACAGTTTCTTTCAAGGTGCACAAATTCATGCACTGGGCCCCTAGTAAACTAACAAAAGAGGTAAAAATACAAATAAACTAATAAAAGAGCAAAAGGTATAAATACACTCAATTTGCATGGGGGTTAGAAATCTGAAAAATGTTATTACAATGCTATTTTCTAATCCTTCCATCTGTATTCTTGATTCCACATCTTATTATCTCATTCTAATACTTCTATCATTGATTATTTCTCATCGATTTCAGTCTTTAACAAAAAGGCTTCTGCCTAGTTTCCCATTTTTGAAGTGACATCACTCCTTTCTTTTACCAATCTCTCTTGAGATTCAAGTTAATTAATTCTTACTTCATCATCTCCTAATCTCCATCAATCAGGTGTCTAAGCCACTCCACTAAAGTTGTTGCCCTTGAGTTTACTGAACAATGCAACGACTTCTCAGTTATTCTAACTGCCTGACTTCTCCATTACAGTACTGGCCAATGCTAACCCTACCTTCTCTACTTTGGTTTCTATAATTACACAATCTTGGTCCTCTTCATACCCATTTCTCACTGTTCCTTGTGTGTCTCCCTTAAAAATTTGTATTCCTTCCTCCTTTTTCATATCCTTTAGCATTACCTAAAATTTTATCCTTTGCCGTTGGGTTTCTCTTTTCACTGTCTCCATAAACTCTAACATATTCAATTTTTTTTTAATCCTTATCCGAGGATTTTTTTTCCATTGATTTTTAGACAGAGTGAAAGGGAGGAAGAAGGGGAGAGAGAGACATCCACATACATCCACTGGTTTGCTCCTGCACAGGCCCCAGTCGGGGGCAGGGTATGAACACGCAACCAAGGTATGGTGCTTTTTGACCAGGAATCGAACGTGAGACCCTTCAGTCCTCAGGTGGAAGCTCTATCCATGGAGCCAAACCAGCCAGGAATAATATATTCAATTTTAATCTTTGAATATATTAAAGCTTCAATTCTTCAAAGTTTCAATTCTATATGTTTGGTGGTCTGTCTACCTCAAGTGTAATATGTCTTGTAATCATAGTAATTCACCCTTTAAAAACACACACACACACACACTTTCAAAAAATTCCTTCCTCGGGCAATAGTAATGTCTGATCTAGGAAACTACATCTGGGTAGTGGGTAGTTACCAAATATTACTGAAATGTCTTAGCATATGTATCTTAAGCACCTCTTTTTAAAAGAAGAATGTAATTTTTTCCTTTTCTGATTGATTTTAGAGAGGGGAGGGAGGGAGGGAGGGAGGGAGGGAGACATTGATGTGAGAGAGAAACATTTATCGGCTGCCTTTCATACGTGCCCGAAAGGGGATCAAACCATTCAATCACCAGCAAAGGTAGAGTACCCAGGCCCAAGTAAAGGTCAATAAAATGTGTCATCTGTGAACAAATTATACCAATATTATAAGAAAAGTAAGATGATATACTGAGGAAGCCCAAAGAAAGAAGATGCTCAATGCTGCTGGGAAACTAAGACTGACTTTCTGGAAAACTTGTTGCTGGCTACAATGAAGAAAGTGGATTGGGAAAGGATAGAACTAAAATAGGAAAAGTAGTTAGGAAGGCAATGAGAAACCGAATAAAGGCATGACAACAGAAATGAAAAAACAGATTTTGCAGTTATTTCTAAGATAAAATCATCATCATTAGTATCATTGTAGATCTGATGTGAAGAATAAGGACAAGGACTGAGGCTAGAGTGTCTCCTGGGTATCTGATTTGGCCCCATTAAAGTACTGCTCTTAATCTAGATGGGAAATGTAAAAAGATGTTTAGAATATAAGTGTCTGATTTGGCCCCATTAAAGTACTGCTCTTAACCTAGATAGGATACATAGAAAGATTTTTAGAATAATAAGAGAATTAGTAAGTTTAAAACAGAAAAGTTTGATATGCACGACTACATGGTTAAGAAGTTGAGTAAGCAGTAAATAAATTGGTCCAAAACCCTCAAACTAAAACACAAATTTGATAGTCATTTATTTAGCCAAATTATATTTATCAAACACAATACAATGCGCTGGGGCTATTCTAGGCACTGAGGATGCAATGGTAAACAAAACAAAGTAGCCTTGACTTCATAAAACTTACATTCTAGGGAGACAAACAATAAATGATATTGTAATGGCAGTAGTGGCAAGGGCTATGGAAAAACAACAATATAGAAGAATGTAAAGTGATGTGATTGAGATGGGGGCTACTCTAGATAGAATGATCAAAGTGGGCCTCAATGGTAAGTGCTATTTGAGCAAAGAGAGTTAAATGAAGTAAGGGAGCAAGGCTACATATATTGCGGGAAGAAGGATCCAGACAGAATGCAACTGACATACAAAGGCCCTGAAAAAAGAACACAAGTAGCCATGATTGGCAAGGAGGCTGCTCTACCAAATACAGTGAGCAAGAGGGAAACAGTTAGGAAATGAGAATAATTGTAGAGGTAGCCAGGGACTAGATTATAATGGCAGTCATCCCAAATAATGACAATATTTTTTAGAAAAATTGTCTTGTCACACAATACAGTTCTGAGAATATAGCAGGTGCTCAAATAATTTTTTTCATATTAATGAGTGAATGAATTTACAAATTTCCATTATATTTGAGCCCAATTTGTATTTTACCATTTCCCAAACTCTAATTCATCCCCAAAGGACAAACCAAGTAGTAATTTAAAGGACTACTTATAAGCTTTAGCAATCATCAAAAGTAGAATTTTTAAAATGTTGTGAACAGTGACATCACTACTAGAATTAGTACATGCCCTTCAAAAGAGATTGCACAGAAGGAAACATCTACTTCAAAATCTATATATATAGAACCCTAATATGCAAACAGACCAAATGGTGGAACTGAACAACCGGTTATTATGACGTGTGCTGACCACCAGTGGGCATGTGCTGAACATGGCGGGCGTCAGCCATGGCAGGATGGTGGAGGTGATTGGGGCGCCAGACCAAGGCGGGGTGCTGGGAGATTGCACAGAAGGAAACATCTACTTCAAAATCTATATATATAGAACCCTAATATGCAAACAGACCAAATGGTGGAACTGAACAACCGGTTATTATGACGTGTGCTGACCACCAGTGGGCATGTGCTGAACATGGCGGGCGTCAGCCATGGCAGGATGGTGGAGGTGATTGGGGCGCCAGACCAAGGCGGGGTGCTGGGCACTGTCATCGGGGCGATCTTCTGGTGGTTACTGAAAATTCTTTGCTCCCATGCGCTGCGGCCCTCCCCGGCACTTGCACCCGCTGCCGGTGCCCGGTGCTCCTCCCGATCACTCGGCACCATCAGTGGGTGTGAGCAGCAGCTGTCGGCCCTGATCACCCCCCAGGGCTTCTCCACCTCCCCCTGCTCCTGAGGGGCTATCAAGGCCAGCAGCCGCC